CCCCCCCAGGCCCAGCCTCCTGTTTCCAGAGCCCCACTGCACCCAACCTCCCCAGACTCCTCCCAGTCCCCAACATTAGACCCATTTCCAGAGCCCCCCAGTGCCAGCCCTGCCCCTATACCCCCCACTATTAGCTGAGCCTACAGAGCCCCTCAGCACTAGCCCTGCCCCCCCTTACCTAGCTCTGCACTGCTGTCTATGTCAGGGTGGCTCTGGGGGCCGGGCTACAGCACACCACCCAGCATCTCCCTGACCACCTCAGCTGTTGGGAGAGGCGTGTCCTTCTCCACCTCTTAGCCAACCAGAGCCGGGCAGGGTCTCCTCCAGCCACAGAAGAGTGCTTCCCTCACACAGAGCCCACCATGCAGGGAAGCACTCTACCGAGGCTTGGAGGAGAACTCGCTCCTGCCTGGTGCTGGTTGGCTGAGAGGCAGGGCAGGACACACCTCTCCCAACAGCTGTGGTGGGAGAGGAGGTGCTGGGTGCTGTACCCTAGCCCCAACCCCCACACCGCTGTGGCCTGGGAGCCAGGGGTGCGTCTTGACTACAGGGTTCTGTCGACAAAAGCGGACTTTTGTCGACAACACTATACCTGCGTCTACACTGTCGCTGAGTTCTGTCGACATAATGTCGACAGAACTCAGCAGGTTTGTAGACGGCTGTAAACCTCATTCTACAAGGAATAATGCCTTTTGTCGACAGAATTCTATCGACAGAAGGCGTTATTGCATCTACACTGTCCTTTGCGTCTACACTGTCATGTCGGCAAAGCGGCTTGCTTTGTCAACAGAACTGGATGTAGTCTAGACACTCTTTGTCGACAGAAGCTTTGTCGACAGTATCTGTCGACAAGACTTCTGTCAACAGAGGTCTACCGCCCATCGGCAGGCTGCAGCCTGGGAGTTGGGAACCGCTAGTCCAGTGGAAGCTGGAATCTTTTGCCAGCCTAGATGGTGGCCAAAGAGTTGAAATCACTAAGAGCTGAAATCACTGGTTTGGCTGGGAGCCAGACCCATTGCAGCTAGTGGAGTGGCCGGCGGGAATGACCGGCAGGCGGCTGGCAAGAGCGACTAGAGGACTACAGGAGAAGCACAAAGGTGGCCTAGCCTCAGGTTCAAGGAGGGGAGTCATCTGGATGATGTGTCAGGGTCTGCACTGACTGGACAGAGTTGGAAGTGGGGCATCTGAAGTGGGGAAAAGTTTGGGTAAGTGAACTCTGTTGTGGTACTTTCCCAAGATAATGCCATGTGATTTCTCTCTCTTTCATTAAAAGTTTCTTTTCTTTACTCAAACCCTGTGCTTGGGAGTGGGGAAGCATTGCCTCACAGAGGCGCCCAAGGGTGTGTAAATTTCCCAGGCTACTGGGTAGGGACTCGAGCCAGTTCTGTGTGAGATGGACCCCTAGATATTGAACCCAGCCCTGGTTGCTGCCGGGCCTACCCGGCGGAAGGGTTACACATGTAACAGCAGGGCTGGGTCCTAGAGAGGGCCGAATGAGCTGCCTGCAGCACAGTCTAAGGGAGGGGATTGGCTGCTGGGGTCTCTGGGAAGTGGAGGGGATAAGGGTGGAAGAGCAAGTCAGGCATAGGGTTACCAGTTTAATAATCCCGCCTAGGGCACCATAAATCCTAAGGACGGCCCTGCTGCACAGCTAACGTTATAGGGCAAATAATGCTGCTTGTCCACAATTTCAGCCTGTGCACATCAGCAGACACACACTATGTAGAAGTCTAATCTGTTGTTTTGACCATCAGGAAGAATCTACGCAGAGACTGGGACTGGCTAGCTCACTGAAAAAAGTAATTTTCCCTCTTTCGGTATTTACACCTTCTCATCAACTGTTGGGAGTGGGACATTTTGACCCTGACTGAACTGGCTTCATTAAGACATAGGACAAGAAGCAATGGGCTTAAGTTGCAGCAAGGGAGGTTTAGGCTGGACATTAGGAAAAACTGCCTAATTGTCAGGGTGGTTAAACACTGGAATAAACTGCCTAGCGAAGCTGTGGAATCTCCATCATTAGAGATATTTAAGAGCAGGTTAGATAAACATCAGGGATGATCTAGATGGTGCTTGGTCCTACTGTGAGGGCAGGGGACTGGATTTGATGACCTCTTGAGGTCCCTTCCAGTTCTACTATTCTATGATTCTAAGATTAGCACTGGTTCTCTGCATAGAAATGTAACACACCTATCTATCCTGAAAGATGATCCATCGTTCTCACAGTCTTTGGGAGGCAGGCCAATCCTCGCTTAGACACCTCCCCAACCTGAAGCAAATACTCACAAGCAACTTACACACCTCACAATAGAAACACTAACACAGGAACCAATCTCTCCAACAAACCCTGTTGGAACACACCCACCTTTGCATGTCTATATATACCTGATAAACTGAAGTATCCACTTCATGCATCTGATGAAGTGGGTTCCAGGCCATGAAATCTTATACTCACATAAATTTGTTAGTCTTTAAGATTTCCCAAAATTATTCAGTTTTTGCTGAAACAGACTAACATGGCTACCCCTCTGCAACTTGTTTATAAACTGATTTAGAACAAGTAAAGAATGTGGGGAAAAGGATGTGGGTGGAGGAGGAGGAGATTTGGGGCACAAATTCTCACCTCTAACCTGCAAGTGGGCAGAGTTTGGCCTCTTGTGTACAATATTTAGAAGTAAATATAAATTGAACAGCTTTCATAATTTCATGGTTCTTACCAATAAGTTTCTCTGCCAGCATATTGAGCTGCTCAGAATTGAGCCCACGACCAACATAAGATGAAAACTGCCAGCTCAGTATTTCCAAAAGTTGACTCAGCGTGGCAGCTGGAGGATTGTTAAAGAATGCCAGGTTCTGCAATATAATTAATACTTTGTTTATTCAAAGTACAAAGTGCAAGAAGCAGGAGTACAAGATTTCCAAGTACCCTCCTGAAATTTGCCCCAGTCCAGTTGCAGAGAAATCATAACAAGAGCGTGAAAGGATAATTAAATATACAAGCCCATTCCATCACTGGTCTCTTTACCAAGACCACAACCAAAGTGCTAATTTTTAATACCAGCTGAGAATGTTTGTGTAGTGATGTTGAGATTTGTCCACTAAGAACAACATATGGTGCCTAGCAGAGCAGGGTCCTGGTCCATGCTTGGGGCTCCTACGTGCTATGATAAAACAAATCAATAATAAATAGATTGGAAACTACCAATAAGCCATTTCACGCCAACCAAAAATCAACAGTCAAAAGGTCAGTACCTTCCTATCTTACACATGAACTGAAAATCTGGAGGTGAAAAAGGCACCATATCTGGATCCAAAGACCCATTAAATCTTCTACTTAAATTTAAACATATTATTATACATGTGATCACAGCTAATTTGTAGTTTATAGAGTGTGTACAGAAAAAAGGTCAATTTTCTTAGAATATCAGATCTGGGGGAAAAATATTTTTCTGATAATATATTTGATTGACAAATAGAGAACTAGAAACTTGAAATACACAGAAAATAAATATTTGGGATTTGAAGACCTACCTGAGGATCCTTTGACGACAAGTTGTACCAAATAATAGAAGCCCAAGCATTAGGCAACTGACTGACATTGGAAATCATCACTACAGGCAAAGAGGTTGTCTGGTGAAGAAGCCACAGTATGGGAATGTTACAAGGCATTCATTGGGAAGGACTCAGTATACCAACATGTTTTTTTTTTAATTTGCATAATGGTTGTGTAGTATCAAAAACTGCAATAGTCTTAATATCCCCTCTTCCTCTATCAGCATATTCTTGGGGCAGATATCTGCTAGGGTGCTGTTGCTGGCCAGTGCTCAGGGGATAGGCCCCCAAAGGTTGAGTGAATGCTCTGTATGCCAGACTCCATAGTGACCCAGGTGGCTGGCTGTCACTCTATGAAAGAGCTGCACAAAACACAGCTGCCCACAGCCTGTCATCCTTTTGGCAGGAAGGGGAATCTGTGGTATCCCTAACAGTGTTGGAGACCATTAGGATCCATGTCAGCCACACTTGGATGCCCACAAGTGGTGAATCAGAAAAACCTGTTGGTCATGTGTTTTATGAAGCCGTAAAACTTTCTCTTGTCATATCCTATCATTCCTCAAAGAGAATGCTATGCTTCTCCTCAGCGCATCCCAATCTTGCTTCTATTAAACTCAATGGCTGTGTCTACACTGGCCACTTATTCTGGAAAATCAGCCGCTTTTCCGGAATAACTTGCCAGCTGTCTACACTGGCCCCTTGAATTTCCGGAAAAGCCCTGACGATCTACTGTAAAATCATCAGTGCTTTTCCAGAAAAACTATGCTGCTCCCGTTTGGGCAAAAGTCCTTTTCCAGAAAACTGTTCCGGAAAAGGGCCAGTGTAGACAGCACAGTACTGTTTTCCGCAAAAAAGCCCCGATCGCGAAAATGACGATCGGGGCTTTTTGGCAGAAAACTGCGTCTACATTGGCACGGACACTTTTCCGGAAAAAGTGCTTTTCCGGAAAAGCATCCTGCCAATGTAGACGCGCTTTTTCCGGAAATACTTATAACGGAAAGCTGTTCCGTTTTAAGCATTTCCGGAAAAGGGTGCCAGTGTAGATGTAGCCAATGGGAATTTTGTCTCTGAATTCAATGAGGACAGAACTAGGCACTACATCGTCTGCAAAAACATATTTATACTGTACCGAAGTGAAGCATGCATAACCAATTAGGAAGGCTCATATTCATGTACATAGTCTATTAACAAATTTTCAAGCTCTGGTAAGCAACAGGCATTAATTTGGTTTGAAGAGAAAATTGGTTTCTTACTCTTCCCCACACAAAAACAGTGAAAACACTCACTTCCAAATCTACAGTCAGACCATACAGGGAGACCTGTGTTTCAAAGCTGATGGAGTGCAGCTCTTCAGTTACCATCTGAGGCCCCTGAGGGAGCAAAGACAACATAAAACTGTGAACAATATTGGCATTTAAAATTGGTTTTGGCATTCTGACTACAACCAAATCTTGCAGCGAACACAACATCGAAAGAAAATATGTCCTCTGAATATATAAGCTGAGCCAGTGGAAAATCGTGGGTGTTTAAAAAAAATACAGAGCTTCTGACCTTAAACTCTGTCTACAACTTCTGTAGTTTTCTGAAGAAGCTAAGAAAGCACTGTTAAAAGAACCTTTTAAGGGAATTTTTGCACTTTTAAAGATGAGCTATAAAATGAACAAAAGGAACTGTCCTTTTTGTAAATTATTGAGGTGGCCTCACACAGTTTTTTAAAAAGTTTCTTTAACGATTGACAATTTCAATGTAAAACAGATTCTGATTTCCCAGATGACACTATCTTTGGAGGACTGGGAATACATCTTTCCAGGAGGCATAAACTTAAGCAGCAGCTCTCTTAGCTTTCCAACTGCTCAACAACACCTCCTTGTGTAGGACTAGAGCATGCAAATTGCACCAAGAGTGGCAGGGGGGAAGAGGTTGGCCAAAGCCCTGTTTCCTTTTCTACCTTTTCCGGGTGATTTGCTCCCTGGAGGGGTTAAGGTCAAATCCCTGCTTACCGAGAGTATTTATAAGTCTCTGTTTTTGCACAGGCCACATGAAGAAGATTTCCTTCCACGACATCCCTTCCCCTAGCACATGTCTACCAGGGCAGATTATAATATTGCACAGTTGGGGAAATGCAGCTCAGGTTTCCACCTCCTATGAGGTCAAAGTTCCCTTCCTGAAACTACCAAATCCCGCCATTCCTAGCATAATGCTCAGTGAGGGAAAAGCCAGTTTTTGACAACCCAGTAAGACAAAAGCCTAAATGTATGATGTCAAGTTTCATCACAGTTTCACTGGCTTTGCAGTTCATCTTCTATGTTAAGCTTTGAATAAAAAAGTTGCTTTCCTCCTATGTGGCATACACCACAACTGTGGAAACTTCTGATCTGTAGGCCTTCATAGACACTTACCTGGAATGGAACTAACCAAACAAAGAATTAAGAACTGTGTCTGTTCTGAGCTAGATTTTCAAGTTATTTAGGTACTTAAAGATGCAGCTAGCTGCCTAGGGGGATTTTCAAAAGCACCTCACCCCTCTCAAGAAACATCTTATTTGCCTAATCTAGCTATTATACAACATTGCCTTCCCATTTTCTCAGAACCTGGGACCAGCAGTGGCATTAAACAACATAGCTATAACAACCAAGCCGGATACTTATGCTACCTCATTTATGAATTCATTTCTAGAGCCTCAGCATATTTTTTTCAATTGCAGTTGCAGCATCGATCGTTGACAACTGACGTTAACTAAGAATGATTAATTCTCTGTACAGGACTAGAATCCTGACCAAAAATGTTTTGAAGTACAAATCTGCACACCATAACCACCAGACATACTTGGAGAGAAAGTTCTGTGCTTGTAAAAAGGCAGAAGCTGCTAGAAGTTTGGCATCTGCCACTGCAAGCAGGGATCCACAGACAGTTTTGCTTAAGCACTCCAAGCCAGCTGTCTAGCCCAGTCTCCCCTTTCCTGCAGCAAATGAAAGTACCAGCAGAAGAGACTGACGTACAAGAAATAGCCACCAATGTGCTTGTACGACCATCTCAGAACGTGCGGGCCAGCAGCAATCCAGGGAAAGCTGGTGAATTTATGTGGCATGGCCAGACAAGCCGCAGGAGTAAGAACAAAAGTAAAGAACGGTCAAATCACAAGGATCTTTAACAAAGAAACACTCTGTCTCTGAGTTGTTTCTTGCCCTCTTCCGCCAAAAGACATCTGCAGTTTGGCAGCACATCTGGGACTCTCTCTGATGGTGGATAAGAATGATCAGAGGGTATGCAGCTGTTCAGAGCAGCTGTAACTGCATTCTGGATATTATAACATATCCCAAACAGAATTGTACACAAAGTACAGCCTTTTCCCAGCTCCTCTCTTCTGTCCAACCCAGACACTGGTGACAACTCTCATAATTTTACTGTGAATTTTGTCATATCCTTTTAGCTTAAAGTCCCTGTTCTTGGTGTCCTAAATTTATGTCCCCTTACTTTTTGTGTCTTTTCTTTAAATGAATGTTGCTCACCTTCCTGGATAGAGAGAGACTATGGAAAATGTAAACTGCTAACAAGCTAGAAGGCAAAAAAAGCCCCCCAAACACTAATAATTTAAAATTCATGAAAATTTTAAAAATTCCATATCACTCTTGGGATATGATGCCTACATTTGGAACACTTGGGGTTCCTGATACCACTTCTGAGTGGACACTTTGCACTGAGAAATTCTCAAGGCGGGGTGTGAACTCTTGGAGAAACATATTATTTTATTATCTTGCTAACTGTACCATTTGCATAGGTCTCAACTTTTCTTTATACCACCAGTGCTCTTTTACTTCCCACTGTGCTGCACAAAGTAAGGGGACCGTTTAGCCTTGGATGATTCTGGACTTATCTACAATTGAGATAAGTACATAGTATCTCTTACTAAATCCTTATACTTAACAAGAGGTACACAAACTGAGGGTAGACAGTAGCATTTTACACCCACTTTGCACTCATTCACTTCACAAGGTGCAAAGCAACAGAGAATCAGGCCCGGAGTTTCAATTTTACTAATCAGCTGGTGAACTGTTCCAGTCAAGAATACAGATGTATGCAAAAATGTGTCCTGCTTTATTTTTGGGCGAGGGTGTGTTTTTTGTTTTGGTTTAAAGCATCCATGCTGATCTTCTCTTACTTTGCACACAAACTCTCTTATTAAAGTCTAGTCTATATGCAGTTTTGTACTCTTATAACTATGTCTTTTAGGGATGTGGGGGTTTTAATCAACACAGATATATTGGTGTAACTGCTAATACAGAGACAGTCAAACTGGCACAAGGGTCCTGTAAACTACTACAGATTTTTCCTCTTCCCAAACAGGAATATTCCATACCATTTTTAAACTGATGTAGTTGCATTCATACTAGAGGGTTATACCACTTTTAAAGCTGTAAAAATATTCATGGCTAGGTGTCTGATTTTTTGTTTCAATCTAATATTAAACAAAAACATAAAGATAAATATTACTCAATTTAATACTCAAAATATTAATTCATACTCTTTACACAAGTTTCTGTTTAAAAGAGACCAAGAAAATGCACATTTTGAGGTTGTGTAAATTTTGGGGGGGTGTATGGGAGTAGCATAAATTTAGACTCTTTTAGGGCAGTCTTACTTATTACTTTTGGGTATGTCTACACTACAGAGTTAGTTCGAACTAACGGATGTTAGTTCGAACTAACTTTCATAGGCGCTACACTAGCGCTCCGCTAGTTCGAACTCAATTCGAACTAGCGGAGCGCTTAGTTCGAACTAGGTAATCCTCATTTTACGAGGATTAAGCCTAGTTCGAACTAGCTAGTTCGAATTAAGGGGTGTGTAGCCCCTTAATTCGAACTAGTGGGAGGCTAGCCCTCCCCAGGTTTCCCTGGTGGCCACTCTGGCCAACACCAGGGAAACTCGTCTGCCCCCCTCCCGGCCCCAAACTCCTTAAAGGGGCATGGGCTGGCTACGGTGCCCGTGCCAGGTGCAAGCCTGCCAGCACCCAGGCAGCAGACCCTGCACCTGCCACGGCTCGAGCCAGCCACCCGATGCCCCCCACCCCCCCCCCTCTTCCCCGGG